TACACTCTCCCTGATGCTATTCACCTCCCCCGAGTGCAGTTCAGCTTAGCCAGCTTGTAGGGAGCCACAATACTTTATTTTTTATTTTTTTAATTAGATATTTTCTGTGTGCAGCCGAAGATTTAAGTTAGCAGAATTTTTATTGAAATTGAGTCTCATATATATCATAGAAAGATAACAGTTTTATGTAATATATTGTACACAAATTTTGTCTACAGCCATTTAACAGCTATGTTAAACAGCAGATATTAGCACCTCTTTAAGGCCAACGATTAGCTTCAGAATTTCTTTCGAGCTCTTGTTTTCACAGTTCGTAATATTGGACATTCACTTGGCAATGCATCGATTCTCTGTGGGCTTTTTAAAGTCCACTTAAGTCAATTGATTGTTAAGTGCCACCAAGTCCATGTCTGACTAGTCAAGTGAGCAATTTACGAAGAAATACACACAGATAGATATTTATAAATGTATATAGATCCCTATATACATATATTATATATGTTATGATATTTTAAAAAATTTTCATGTCATTTTTTTTTTTTTTTTTTTTTTTTTTTTTAGTATTCCCATTGTCGCAATTTAATTGATAGGACTTTTAAAGCGGGCATAGCCGTAACATTTCCTACTGAAGCGTGAGAATGATTTCCAGTGTTATTAATTTATGCGCTGATGGCGAGTTGTTGGACAAATTAATTGAAGTTTTACGAACATTTATATGAATTTAAGATAAATGATATTATATAGATGATGCTCGCTCAATCGCTTTCTCTGTCTCATAAAATTATAGGCAATTAAATGATTGCAATTGGAAATTTTAAGAGAAGAGCTGCTTCATAATGTGAATTGCATGTGAATGGAATTAAGAATATTATTAAAATTTATTAAGTTTTATGTTTTATGCAAAGCCTTGCCAAAACAAACGATCTATGATCTATGTCAGTCGCTAAGTTTAAACAATTACGGAATTATGAAAATTCATAACAACTTCACTAATTAATGCTACTTTAATAATGAATAATATATTAGTATAATAGTTTCGTTAAATAGTTTACAATTGAGTTAGGCTTTATATATTTGAGCACATCAAAATATTTTATTTTGAACTATGCGAAAAATAAAAACAAAAACACTTCTAAGAACTGAAAAATATAGTGGTCATGGTATCTAGTTTTTATAGCATATATAGTTATATAAAGAATATGGTAAGAAAAAGAAAATAGTGAATTTTGTGAATTCATTGAATAGGAATTACCCTATAATTTGTCAAATTTAACATAATATTTTACATATAGCTAAATCAATATTTTTATTTTTATTAATATTTTGCATATAGCTATAATTAAAAAGCCAAAAAATAAATGAAAATGAATGAATGTTTGCAATTAAAATGAATACAAATTATTGTTGGCAATTTAGTCAAGGTCGTCATTAACTCAAATATTTGTATATAAAAGCTGATAGACCCCAATAAAATGAACTGCAAAATGGTTTGCTCTCTTATAAATTAAAACAGATAACCATATACTATATTTGTAATGTTGTTGTGAAAATAGAAGACAGGTGACATAATATGCGAACGTTAGCGTCAGGTGAAAGATGATCTCAATAAAATCTACGGCGATCAGCTTTGACTCAATAGACTTTTGCACTTATATATGGTAAATTGAATGAATTGAGCAAATACCTAAAAAGCCGCAAACTCGACTAGTAATTGATCTATCAATTTATCTATTATCAACTTCAAAGCGAATGCGATCTTCGGGTTTCACATGCGCAGCCCCAGCCCAGCGCAGCGTAGCGCAGCTGTAGATCGCCATCTCAGGCCCAATCATTCTCTCAATGTGTAGCCAATCAATTTGTATGGGCAGCAAGTTGCGTTGTGGCACTACCCTCAATATTAATTCAATTCATAACTCAAACCGTCTTATCAGTCACATTGATTGATGTTGCGTGCATCGAGGCAAATGCAATGAAGTAAATATATATACATATATATATATATGGGATCGTAAAAGAGAAAGGGAACTTTAAACTGTGATCTTTTCTTTTGTTGCACATACATATACATATATATATGTATATACGTATAAAGCGATACGATCCGAGCGCCATGATTTGTGACGCTTCAATGCGGTTTCTCGTGCCTCTCTTGGCGTTAAAAGGCAAAACTGCGAGTCCAAGTCAATGGATCCTAACTTTTATGGTCAAGTGAGTATTGCAAACATTTCACTCACTTTGAGATGTGAGCAGAGCTTTTGCTTTTACCTTGATATCTTGGCCACTCCATATGGCCAATCAATTTGCCTTATTGGCCAGTCAAACTTTCTAATTAGACATGGCTCGTCTCCCGCCTCGCTGGGCGAGAGAACATTCGCCTGTAGCTAACATTAACTATTATTAACTATTATCATTACTAATGCCTGTTGACAGCCGGTGCAATGTTTACTTTCAGCTACGAGCAGCGCTCGTACAACAAACTTACAAGTGCTTATACAATACACACAGCTGTGTATTTGTTTATATACGCGTACACATACACGCACATATACACCTATACAAACATACATATGTAGTTTCGCAGGGCAATAAGTAGTCACGTTCGAACACAATTAGTAAAACAAGTTGGTTAACGATAAGAGCGCACTTTAGACTGAGCCAAATGAATATTAAAATATTGGCTTTCACGAGAGCGGTAGGGATACGTGCGCTTATCCCAGAAAAGCCTCTACTTATTGCTTTTCCCATATGGAATACAAATTAAATCTGATACATTTTCAGACAAAAATTAATAAAGCACCTCTTCAATATTCACTTTGAGTTTATATTTCCTTCAATTGAATGCAATTTTACAATTTTGCAATTTACGAAATGTCATTAAAGAAATTGCTCTTTTTTGTATTCATTTGAAAATTGATATTAAAATTCTGTTCTTGAAGTGTATACACGTTTATGAAATGAAAAAGAGTGTATTGACCAAAGCAGTATGAAGGCATAGCAAATCAGGAGTTACCCTACAATCTATATAATCCATATACAACTTGAGAGTAATAATATTAAATTGCTCTAAGGCTAAGTCTATAATCGTAATATGGTACGCCAAATGGGGCTTGATAAAAATAGCAACTTTTCTAAATCCTGAACGAGTATTCTGCAGCCGCATAAACTCGACTGCAATGTTGAAGTATATATATATATATCAATAGTAATCAAATATTTACGTTCAGCGCTTCAAAAATATTTGACTATACAAATTAAAGAGAAAGAGGGAGAGTCAAAAGGAAGCAACTCTATAAATATATATGTATATGCATATATAAAACATATATGTATATATGTACATAACATACACACACACACACATGTACACATATGCATGTTTGTAGTAAATACAAGTTAATTTGAATCATCAGTTTGGCGCCAATTGCGTGACCGCAGTTTAAGCATCATTTAGTTTATCTCTGGGACTGGGCCTAACAAGCACTCAGACCCCGATTAAATTAACCCCATTGACAARGAACATGATGAAGAAGTAGAAGAAGAAGAAGCAGCAGACTACGCAAAAAGCTCAAAGCTCGTGCCCCCATTTGAGTTTAATTTCTTCAGAAATGAAACAATTTCTTTGCACCAGCCCTGACAATTGTCAGCTCACATCGAACTGGCAATTGCGACCACATGTTGCACACGCCCGCCACGGGCACACACCCCATTCACAAGCACAAGCACACACACACACACGCACACATACACGAGCAGAGAGTGGGCATCTGCATTTCTCGCATAGCTCGTTTCACTGAGCATTTAATGATCAGACAACTAGAGGGCGTGGTCCAATTGCCGGCGCTGGCGGTTTCGCTCTATAAGCACGACGACAACAATAATATTCAAATATATATACATGTACATATGTGTGCATGTGTGTTCGTGTGCGTCCCTCTGCCCGTTGCGTAACCCGCGCACTAATGAGCTCCAACCGCTGTGAGGCTTGTGGGCAGAGTGTTTGGGTCTATCGGTAATTGAGACTCGATTTGGTATCGAGCCGCAGCAATTTGTATTTGCCATTTGCCACAATTTATGTGTATGTGTATGTGTATGTGTGTGTGTGGGCTTAACTTTGGGCCTTCTGTCTCCGTGTCCCTGTCCATGTCTGTCTCTGGTTTGTCTGCCACAACCAGCTGCTGCTGCTGCTGCTGCTGCTGGCTTTGACTGCTGCGGAATGCGAATGCGCATTTGCATTTGGCCACATGTGTCTATGACTGACTGTCCGTCTCTCAGTCTCTCCGTCCGTACGTCTGTCTTCAATTGAATGTGGAGCACATGTGAGTGAAAAACGCTTGCGCCCCATAAAATATATGGATATACACATATACATATACACACATATGCAGCTGTCTGTATAACTCAAGATTACAACTTTGCAATTTGTTAGTTCAAGTTTTTTATTTTTTTTAATGGTTTTCCATTTGCAGTGGAACTTCCTAAGTGCAGGCCGTAATTTGCTAACCATTATGATTTCAGCTTCTGTATCATTAATTCAAATTCTCTGGCAATGCGATCATCAATATTGATTATATCGACACCATAAACTCTGCAGCTCATCAATAATGAACGGGCTTTAGTGATATTAATGCATAAAGAAAACTTTTTGTGCGGTCCATGATATACATTCTGTGATCTAACGTAGCCGATCTCAACTCGAACATGATCTTAGAAAGAGCTAAATTTATTGCTTTTCAATATTTTTAAAGATAATATATATTATAT